GGCGGTGGGCGCGGAGCAGAAGTCCCCAATGAGCAGAAAGAGGCGTGGCGGGTCATCCAGGGCGTCATATGCTCCCAGCACCGTGGCCAGGCGCGATAGGGTCTGGCGGGCACACGAGCACACGCAGAGGTGGTGCAGGGGAGACAGCAAAGGGAGACAGCAAGGGAGGCATCCCGGGTGAATGGGAGGGGTGCGAAGAGGCGCGGCGGGTCGTCCAGCGCACCGTGGCCAGGCGCGACAGGGTCTGGCGCATGCACACCCATGCAGACGTGGTGCAGGCGAGACAGCAAGGGGGGCATCCGAGGTGAATAGGAGGGGGGTGAGAAATTAAGAAGTACAAGAAATAATTAATCATCCGGGGTGAGAAACCTCAACGGAGAAAGTTGAAACTCCAGCTAAGAAGTACAACATCATGTTACAATATACTGTATCTCAGACAAGTGTGATTGAGGAGTGACCTGCGGGTGGTGCGGGGCAATGTGCGCGATGACGATGGAGTGAGGAGTGAGGAGTGACCTGGGGATCATGCAGAGCAATGTCCGCTATAATGATGAACATGTGCCCCTCCGCCACTGCCTCCGCCTCGCGCTGCTGTACCCACGCCTGCTCACACGGGGGGGGGTCAGGGGGAGGTGCGATGGACATGGGAGGAAGTGGGGAGTGTGATGACGAGACAAGAGCACTGGAGAAAGATGAAAGAATGGGTGGAGAAGCGGCTTGAGGCTCATGAGGCTTGATGGCAGATAAGCGAGCAAGACACTGGCTTGCATGCTCCCATTTCCCAGGCTTAGTGTTGCACAGACATCCATCCTCACATGCACACACCCATGCTGAGACGCACACACTTATGCTAGCAGACGGGGGGGGGAGGGGCACGCACGTAGCTGTGGGCGTCGATGGGCCCGGCGCCAAACAGGTCCAGCCCCTCCGCCAGGGACAGCGCCTCCTCCCGCGGCTCCACCGGGGGGAACTCCAAAGACGACACCTGGTGGGGAGAGAGCCAAGCGGTTGGGCGCAGGGCGGGTGACGTTTGAGGGCTGTGATGACATGTGGTGCTGGCGGGACCTGTGGGACCGGATGTGTGTGTAATGGAGTGGGATGAGATGAGGTGGGAGGTGGTGGGGTGGAATGTGGAGGAGTGGGACGTGGTGGGGTGGAATGTGGAGGAGTGGGACGTGGAGGAGAGTAATGGCATAAAAGATGCTTGAAAGCTCGAAGGTAGGGGTCGCATTGTGCCATGCATGGAGGAAACGAGAAAAGAGGATGAGGTAGAGGGAAGGGAGAAGTGGGCGAGCGAGCAAGTAAGGGGGAGTGGAACGGGAGAGGGAGGTGGAAGGGGGAAGGGGCGGGAGAGAGTGCGCACGTTGAAGCAGCCGGAGGGAGTGAGTTGGCCCGAGGCAATGACGACGGAATTCTCGGTGAAGTAGCCCGGCGATGCGGTGCAGTGCGGTGCAGGGCACGCGCGTTCACACGGGGGGTTTGGTCAAAATGGTTCACAGAGAGGCACCGAAATAGGCGAGGAAAGAGGAAAGGCGATGGGAGAGACAGAGGGATAGGGAGGGAGAGAGGGGAGACAGGTGGAAGCCAGGTCAAGGAGAACAGATGGCGGGGATCAAGTGCTTGGTGTGAGTGGGCATGTGTAGCGAGGTTGCGAGTGAGGTAGTGCGAGTGGCAGTGAGCGTGGTGAGACTGGGAAAGGGATGGAACGGAGGGCGGATATGGCATGGGAGAGGTCGAGGGGCAGCGAAGCGGAGAGGTCTTCAAGGAAGAAGCGGCCGTCCTCCAGCTGTGCCACCACGCCCACCACGTGGTGCCGCCTCTGCTGTGACAGCGCTGTGCCGCCCACCAGTGCTTGCACTGGCGTCAGCTGCATGAGAGGAGGGGGAGGAATGGCGCACAGGGAGGGGAAGAGGCTTGCAGAGGAGCAAGAGGGCTAGAAAAGAGAAAAGAGGTGGGGAAGGAAATGCTGGAGGAGTAAGAAAATTAGGAAAACCGAAACGTGTGCGTGCCGACATGGTAAAAGGTCGTTGTGTGTGCAACGAAGTCATGGAAAGCACAACAGAACCACGCAAGTCACTGGAAAGGCTCCAGCCCACGCATCTTCCCGTTTCCCCCACAGCCCATGCGACGTACCTCGGTGTACTGCTCCTGCTGCTGCTGCGCGGAGCCCAGAGGCAGCAGCGGCACGGCAAAGCGGCGGTGGCGGGCAGTGCGCGCGAGCAGCAGGTGCAGGCGGCGCCGCAGCACGTCCGCCTTGCTGCCCGGCGCCCCCGCCAGTGACAGCGGCCCCCTGTGCCTGCATGCATGCATGCAGTGCATGCAATGCACGTGGGGTTGAGTTGAGTGCAAGACGGAGGACAGGGGATGAGGACCACGTGGGATGAAGGAAACCTGTAAAGAAAAATAATACGGAAGGGATCTGTGGTGCAGCAGTGCCGTGCATGGTGGTGGAAAAGGGTGTGAGTTTGCGTGTGAAGGTGCTTCAGCAGGAGCAGCAACAGTTTGGATGTGTGGCGGCCATTGGCCAAGCAGTGCCGTGTGTCCACAGGAGCAAGGAGAGTGTGGGGGTTGGGGGGGTGACAGGCGGGGTGGGGAAGAGACAGCGGGTGACGGGAACGGGGTGATGAGGCAGGAACGGGAGTGGGGAGAAGGGGAAGGGGACGAAGAGGGGAAAGCATGGCATTCCGATCGCTAACTTCGCGCCCTTGACGTCCTCTCTCCTCCCACGGCCACACCCACTCAAACCGTCCCTTACTCTCGCATCCTCACACGCCCAACTCAAACCGTCCCTTACTCTCGCATCCTCACACGCCCAACTCAACCACGGCCACCACACACGCACGGCCACCATCGGGGCGGGGGAAGCAGGGAGGGGGGGCACCTGGAGAAGTGTTTGCGGAGGGGATCGTAGTCGACGCGCGGCATGGTGAAGGCGTCAATCACCACCACCGCGCGCCACTCGCGCTTCCACCCCTCCTGCGCCCCCCCCGTCCCCTGCTCCCTTCCATCACCTCCCCCGCTCCCCCGTTCCTCCCCACGCCCCCCAGCGCATCTGGCCGCGCGCCACCCCCTGCGCGCTCGCCGCGGCTGCTTCCGCCTGCAGTTCCCCCCCCATCAGCGGGGGGGGCGCGGGAGCGCGCGCGGAGGGGCTGCAGAAGGACCTGGCGGACCACGTCGCGCGACACCACCTGCACGCCCACTGCCATGGGGGGCACGGGACACGGGCGAGGACAGATGGAAGGGGGGGGGGCGCGAGAGAGGAAAGGGGAAGTGTGCGACAGGCGTGGGACCAGGGACTGACTGATAAGCCTCGCCCTCTGACCCGATCCTGGCTCCTGGCCCTCGCGGCTGGCCCTTCGTATCCACGGCACGCCAGCCCATGCAGCGCACCGGCATCCGTTGGACCCCGTCGCTCACGCACGTCGCTCACGCACGTCGCACGCGGAATGGCACCCGTCGCGCACGGCGAGACACGCCTCCAAGTAAACGTGCGCCCTGCCGCTCCACGCGCTCCGCAAACTGCACCATCCACCGCCTCTCCCGCGCCTCTCACTTTCGTAACTACGCGCCTCTCGCAGACTAGACCCACACGCTTGAAAATCCGCACCCTATCCGCACTGATCCCCATTCCCCGCTAGCCTGCACGCGCAGTAGGCGGCGTACGTTCGAGCGCGGTGATGCCGCGGAGCAGGTCGTCGACCGCCTGCTGCTCGGTGCACCCCGCCTCCACCACGTACTCCGCCACGCTCTGCAACGCCGCGCGATCCACCGTCACCCCGCGCAGCTGCAGCTGCTGCTGCAACCGCCGCATCGCACGCAGCTCCTGGCTCATCGTGGCCGTTGATCGGACTGGCCTGGGACTGGCGGCAAGGATGTTCGGGTTGTTCACCGCTGCTGTACCATCTACCGACCTAAGTGTAACCCTCGCGGTGGTAAGCCAACGCTAGGGGCGGCGGAAATGGAAAGCTATTCACTTGATCATAGATGACATCGGTTGCTCCTTGATGGTTAGTTACTTGATGTGGGCGCGGCGCAACTTGGAGCGAGCCATATCGCAGCACAGATTCGCGGGCAGCACAGATTGCTTTTGACGAGTCACTTTCGAGGTGTATGCAAATGTGTTGCCACAAGCTTCCGTAATCATATAGTGGTTCTATCAAATATAAGCTGGAAGCTATTGGAGAACCATAGGTCCATAGTCGCCAATATCGCCAATTATGGTTTACTTTATAGAACACTTAACTCACTAAGTCTTTCACCGTGTTTCTCCTAGATTTGGTCAACTCCGTTTTAGATGTAAGCTTGGGCCAACGAACTTAACATCATATTGCATGTCGTGTAGAAGGCTAAAAGCGAAACACGCATTGGTCATCCTCGTCACCAGCGTCGGTGTCACTCCGCATGTCTTGGAAGTGACGTCTGACGTGTACTCAGTTGTGCGGTGGGGGAATGCGCGCTCTAGTCGCTACCCTTGGTTCGCCAACAACACAGCAGCGGTCGCCAGGTCGAAGTCACCATCTCGTGCGACCCCGAGCGACAAGCACTCTCGCACTCAACGTCCATCGCTTGTTGTGAGTCGTGACTTGTCGTGACAGGCACAGCAGACGCGGCCTAGGGGGAGAGTCACTCTCGCACCACACAACCATCGCGCACACGACACGAGCCTTCCCCTCCCGTGCACTGACGTCACTTTCCTATTCCTCCTATCGCAGATCCTTTCCACGAATCTCGAGACCGCACTTTCTGCTCGCCCGCGCGTCTCACCTCACAAGCCCTGGCGAGCCGGGAAAGTTTCTCCCGCTGTGGCCTCCAAGTCGCTGCCGTATTCGCTCTCACAGCGTAGTCGCTCTAACATTATCGTCTATCTGACAGCGTAGTAGCTCTAACAGCGTGAGTGCTGACAGCATAGTCGCCGTGTCAGCATAGCCGCCGTGTCAGCATAGTCTCTCTTACAGCATAGTCGCCGCGTCAGCATGATCGGCGACGGCAGCGCAGCGGCGATGGCGGCGGACCACCTGGCGGAGTCGCTGCACGCCGCCGCTCCCGACGCCACGGCCGCGCTCGCCGCCGGCCCCACGCCGGCGCTCGTGGCGCTCGTGTCGCTGGCGGTGCTCGTGTCGTCGCTCGCGCTCTTCGTGCTTCGCCATCGCGCCGCCTCGTTGTCCAAAGCACCAGTCGCCGCGGGGCCCGGCGCCGGCAGCAAGTACCAGCCGCTCGCTACAAAGGATGTAGCGGCGGTGGCGGCGGCGAATGGCGAGGAGCGGAAGGGCGAGGGGGATAAGGCGGAGCGCGACGAGGGGAAGGTGGCGATCGGCATTCTGTTCGGCACGCAGACGGGCACGTCCGAGGGATTCGCCAAGGTGGGTGACCCGCGCGCGCCACGGGCGCGCTTCTCTTGGCGCGCGGATGGGAGGCGCGGTTGGATGGGGTGGGTGGGAAGGCGGTGGCAATACAGAATGGTCTACGACGGGGCTGCGCAGGATACCTTTTCTCCCCCCCCCCCCCCTCTCTCAACTGCCGCCTCAACCCTTCCCTGTCACCTCACCACCCCCCCCTGCCGCTTTAACACATCCTTTCCCCACCCGCCGCCTCACCATTTCCCTTCCCTCGTCGCCCTTTCCTGCCCCTCCCGCCGTCCCTCACCCGCAACCCGTGCCCCTCGTCCCCCTTGCAGACACTCGTGTCGGAGCTGCAGCACCACTTCGCATCGCACTGCACCGTTGAGCTCAGCAGCCTGGTACGTTAGTGGGCCGGCGTGTGGTCGTCCGTGCCTCTGAGTGGAAGCAGAGCACGCTCGCACACTCTGCACACTCTGCACACTCGCACACATTGCACACCTGCACACTCGCACACTCTGCACACTCGCACACGCTGCATGCCAGCATGCCTCTCGTGCTCCCAAGCCAACACGCCGTGCTGCATGTGCCCACCACCCCCACCCCCCATGCGCCCATGGCAGGATGATCTAGCGGAGGACAGCGATGGCTTCACAGCGAGGCTTAAGGCCTTCCACGCCGCCTTCTTCCTCGTCGCCACGTGAGCCGCCGCTGCCCCCTTCTCCCCTCCCTGCTCCTCTGCGCACCGCTGCGCCCTGCTGCGCTTCTTTCTGCTGCCAGCTCATCTCCATGCTGCTATCGCGACCCTCAAGCCACCTACGCCAGCCGCCTGTCTCTCTGCTCCACATCTCAAGGCACGCTCCCTATCCCCGCCCACTCCCTGCCTCGCCCACAGGTACGGCGATGGAGAGCCAACGGACGATGCGCAGCGCTTCTTCAAGTGGCTGCACGCCACCGCTGCTGATGCAGAGGCTCAGGTACATACCGCTGCACATGCGGGTGGTGGTGCATGCATGTTGCCGCTCATCAAATTGCTCTCTTCCTTCCTGCCACCGTCCTTCTGTGCATGCATCAGCCCCCATCCGTCCCGTCCCACCGGCACCTCCTCTGCTCCCCACCAGGACGACAACCCCTTGCCGCTGCAGGGGCTGCGCTTTGCTGTCTTTGGGCTGGGCAATCGACAGTACGAGCACTTCAATTTGGTACGCCAGTGTGGTTGTCCACCTTGCTCCACCTTGGGTTCTCCCATGCCATGCCAGCACGCCATACAGCTGTACAGCATGATGCGTGCATGATTCGAAATCAACGCCAGCTCGCCTGCTCCCCCATCCATCTATCCATCATCACCGCCATACGTCCATCCACCTTCCTCTCCACTTCCGTTTCTTTCTCCCTTCCCACCCGTGCCACCCCATTTCCACTCTATACCTCCCTCCCATCACCTCATGCTTCATGCGGCAACGCGCCCTTCCCCCTGCCCACCCCCATTGCTCTGTGTGTGTGTGGCCGTGCAGATGGGGAAGTCGCTTGACAAGCACCTTGCTGCTCTCGGTACGCTGCTAGCTACCCCGTGCCCTCCCTGCCGTGCCACCGCTGCTTCCTTCTCCTCATGCGCCTTGCCAGCAATAGCGCTGCTCCAGTCCCTGTTCCCCGATCCCACCCGCCTCTCTGCTCTCTTCTCCCCCAATCATCACCCCCTCACCACATGCGATGCTTGGCGGCCAGGCGGGCAGCGCGTGGCGGAGGTGGGGCTGGGAGACGACGACCAGTGCATAGAGGACGACTTCAAGGCCTGGTGAGGCCCAGCTCAGCCGCGCACCGCACTCCATGCCCTCATCCCCCTTCCTCCACGCCGTGCCATGCCATGCCTCACCCCCTTGCACGCCATGCCTTGCCCCACTGCTCCCTGCTCACCCCGCCTCATCCCCTCTCACCCAACTCACCCCTCTCGCCCTCACTCACCCCGCGTATGTGCACGGCTGGCAGGCGGGCGGGGCTGTGGAAGGGGTTTGAGTCGCTCGTGCTGGGCCGGGGGGCTGGGGGCGAGGGGCAGCAGGGCGAGGGGGCAGCGGGGGAGTGGGCGGACGAGGAGGAGGAGGTGGGGGAGTATCGCGTGCAGGTGCACCGCACAGGGGGACTGGCAGGGGCTGCTAAGGAGAAGGGGGGCCTCAATGGGGGGATGAATGGCACGATGAATGGGGAGGTGAACGGAGAGGGGCATGGGAAGATGAATGGTGGAGAAAAGGAGGTGAATGGCTTGGCAGAGCATGTGAATGGCGGGGAGAAGGAGAAGGAGCAGCAGATGAGCATGGGCGAGGCGATTGCTGCAGTCGGATGGCACTCGCACAGCATTGGCAGGTGAGCGCAGCATTGGCAGGTGAGCGCAGCATTGGCAGGTGAGCACAGCATTGGCAGGTGAGCGCAGCATTGGCAGGTGAGCGCAGCATTGGCAGGTGAGCGCAGCATTGGCAGGTGAGCGCAGCATTGGCAGGTGAGCGCAGCATTGGCAGGTGAGCGCAGCATTGGCAGGTGAGCGCAGCATTGGCAGGTGAGCGCAGCATTGGCAGGTGAGCGCAGCATTGGCAGGTGAGCGCAGCATTGGCAGGTGAGCGCAGCATTGGCAGGTGAGCGCAGCATTGGCAGGTGAGCGCAGCATTGGCAGGTGAGCGCAGCATTGGCAGGTGAGCGCAGCATTGGCAGGTGAGCGCAGCATTGGCAGGTGAGCGCAGCATTGGCAGGTGAGCGCAGCATTGGCAGGTGAGCGCAGCATTGGCAGGTGAGCGCAGCATTGGCAGGTGAGCGCAGCATTGGCAGGTGAGCGCAGCATTGGCAGGTGAGCGCAGCATTGGCAGGTGAGCGCAGCATTGGCAGGTGAGCGCAGCATTGGCAGGTGAGCGCAGCATTGGCAGGTGAGCGCAGCATTGGCAGGTGAGCGCAGCATTGGCAGGTGAGCGTTGTAACTACTGAGGGATGGAAACTGAGAATGTAATAGGGACTCGCTTGAGATGTTATCCAGCAATTCTGGGCTGGGCCCCAGCAGAATGCTGAGTTGGAAGCTCTATTGGGTCTAGATGTACGCTCAAACTTGGCATTTTCAAAGCAAAGGCTAAAGAGTGGCTCTTGATTGGAAGCCTCCAGCCCTTCCAGTGCCGCTGTCCTTGGTCTCATTGCATTGCCTGGGTTGTTCATCCGCCAGCATGTGTGTGGCGTGTGTGTGGCGTGAGTCTCTTCTGTGCATGGCAGGGCACGGCTGGCGGTGGTGAGGGAGCTGCAGGCGGCCAACTCAGACCGATCCACACTGCATGTGGAGCTCGACCTCTCCACCTGCCCCCACCTGCAGTACGCTCCACCTCGCCGCCCTGCAATCAACCACTTGCCACTGCAACCACACCCCTCATTGCTCGACTACCTCTGATCTTTGTCTCCCGTTGCTGCCACATGCTTTTCCCCATACCCTTGCCTCCGCATCCAACCATGCCATCCCATGCCATGCCATGCCATCCCATGCCATGCCATCCCATCCCCCACCATGCCATGCCATGCCATGCCATGCCATTCCGTGCCATGCCATGCCATGCAGGTACGAGGTGGGAGACCACGTGGCAGTGTTTCCAGAGAACAGCGATGCTGACGTGGCAGCAGTGGCCAAGTGTCTGGGAGTGGATCTGGATGACGTCATCTCCCTGCACCTGCCCTCGCCCTCGTCCTCCCTGCCACCGCCCCCTCCCGGCCGCCACTCCATGCGCGCCGTGCTCGCCTCGCTGCCCGACCTCCACTCCTCGCCGCGCAAGGTAAACCCTTTTCTCTGCCTCTCCTTTGCATGAGGTGTCCTTGCTGTGCTTGTGCATCAGCACAGGCTCCTCCTGCTTGCTGCGCGCCACTCCATGCGCTCCCTGCTCGCCTCGCTGCCCGACCTCCACTCCTCGCCCCGCAAGGTAAACCCTTTTCTCTGCCTCTCGTGTGCATGAGGTGCCCTTGCTGTGCTAGGTATCACCACCCTGCTTGCTGCGAGCCGTGGCAAGCACTACCACCCGCCCCTCTCTCCCCCCACATCTATTGCCGTCCATTCCTTCGCATGCCCTAACGCGACCTCCGTCTTTCCACCCCTCCACACCTTGTACCCGCTGCGCCGGCCTCGCCGCACCAGGCAGCGCTGGCAGTGTTGGCGCACTTTGCCTCTGACCCCGACGAGGCAGCACGTCTCAAGCACCTGGTGAGCGACGGGGGCAAGGCGGAGTACAGGGAGTGGGTGGCGGCGGCACACCGCTCGCTGCTGGAGGTGCTGCAGGCATTCCCGTCTGCTCGCCCGCCCCTCGCTGTCTTCCTTGCCTCCGTTGCGCCGCGCCTGCAGCCGCGCTTCTACTCCATCTCCTCCCACCCCAGGTGCCCTCTCTCTCCCACCCCAGGTGCGCTCTCTCTCCCCGCGTTACCTCCCCGCTTAGTGTGCTGATGCACGTTGCCACACGGCCACGTGTATCATTCCATCCTCTCTCCACCAATCGCCGCCAACAGAATCCTTCCCTGTGTTTGCTCCTCCTGTGCATGTCTTGCATCTGAATTTCTCTTCCTAAAACGTGCCCACTTACATCCCTCTCTCCACACACGTGCACTCTTGCGCTTACCCCGCTTGACTGCCTGCTGCCACTTCCCGTCGTCTCTACCCCACCCGGCCGGCGCCCTGTGTTGTGCCCCCAGGCACGCGCCAGGCACGCTGCACATAACATGTGCAGTGGTGAGGGGCGTCACCCCCATCTCTCTTACCCCGCTGCCCCCTTGTCCCCTCTGCGCCCTCTTCTGTGCCTGTGCCCCCAGGCACGCGCCCGGCACGCTGCACATAACATGTGCGGTGGTGAGGGACGTCACCCCTGCAGGCCGCATCCACCACGGCGTGTGCTCCTCCTTCCTGCACCGCCACCTCCCCCTCCCCCTGCCCGCCCCCCCCTCCGCCTCCCCTGAATCCGCCCCCTCGCCCCTGGCGGTGCTGCTGCCGGTGTTCATCCGCTCGTCGCACTTCCGCCCGCCCGCTGACCCCGCGCGCCCCATCGTCATGGTCGGCCCCGGCACTGGCCTCGCGCCCTTCCGAGCCTTCCTGCAGGTGCGCTGCCCCCCACTGCCTTCCTGCAGGTGCGCTGCCCCCCACTGCCTTCCTGCAGGTGCGCTGCCCCCCACTGCCTTCCTGCAGGTGCGCTGCCCCCCACTGCCTTCCTGCAGGTGCGCTGCCCCCCACTGCCTTCCTGCAGGTGCGCTGCCCCCCACTGCCTTCCTGCAGGTGCGCTGCCCCCCACTGCCTTCCTGCAGGTGCGCTGCCCCCCACTGCCTTCCTGCAGGTGCGCTGCCCCCCACTGCCTTCCTGCAGGTGCGCTGCCCCCCACTGCCTTCCTGCAGGTGCGCTGCCCCCCACTGCCTTCCTGCAGGTGCGCTGCCCCCCACTGCCTTCCTGCAGGTGCGCTGCCCCCCACTGCCTTCCTGCAGGTGCGCTGCCCCCCACTGCCTTCCTGCAGGTGCGCTGCCCCCCACTGCCTTCCTGCAGGTGCGCTGCCCCCCACTGCCTTCCTGCAGGTGCGCTGCCCCCCACTGCCTTCCTGCAGGTGCGCTGCCCCCCACTGCCTTCCTGCAGGTGCGCTGCCCCCCACTGCCTTCCTGCAGGTGCGCTGCCCCCCACTGCCTTCCTGCAGGTGCGCTGCCCCCCACTGCCTTCCTGCAGGTGCGCTGCCCCCCACTGCCTTCCTGCAGGTGCGCTGCCCCCCACTGCCTTCCTGCAGGTGCGCTGCCCCCCACTGCCTTCCTGCAGGTGCGCTGCCCCCCACTGCCTTCCTGCAGGTGCGCTGCCCCCCACTGCCTTCCTGCAGGTGCGCTGCCCCCCACTGCCTTCCTGCTGTGTTTCATGTGCCACTCTGCCCTCCACCGCCCGCCCGCCCACCCCACGCGCCCCATCGTCATGGTTGGCCCCGGCACCGGCCTCGCGCCCTTCAGAGCCTTCCTGCAGGTGCGGCCGCTGCTCTTTTCTCGCCTGCACTGCACCACTGTGTCCTCCACTCGCCTGCCCCTCGCCTGCCTGCTGTTCATTCATTGACAGCCTGGCAGCGAGTGCGGCTGCCTAGGTCCATCATCGCACTCCACTCTTCTTCCGAGTTTTCCTCACCTCCACCCCTCCTTTTTCATGTGTTCCCCCCTTCCCCCCCTTCCCTTTCTCTCCCCCCCTCTCATTGCAGCACCGTGCACTGCTGCAGAATGAAGTGCAGCAGCTGGGGGAGGCGCTGCTCTTCTTTGGGTGCCGCCACCGCGACCAGGTGCTGCCAGGGACCAGCAAGTAGGGGAGGGAGACACACGTGGGAAGAAGGCAGGGGAGAATCAGAGCGGCCAGTTGGGGGGACAATGGAGCATGCAGTGGGGGAGGTAGTGAGGAAAGGAGTTGGGGAGGGAGGGAGTGGGGGAGGGAGCGAGTGGGGGAGGGAGTGGGGGGGAGAGTGGGGGAGCGAGCAGGAAAAGATGGGAAGTGAGTCCGCCTGCAGGTGTTCCTTTCAACCTTACATGCGCGAGATTCTTGCACTGATCTTCGCTTATCCAACCCCGAATCCCGTGCCCACTTCTCTCTCCTCCCACCGCTTTCCCCCCACCCCCCCCTCGCAGGACTACATATACCGCGAGGAGCTAGCAGCGTACGAGAAGAGTCGTGTTTCGAGTCGACTCAAAACACAACGCTGCACCCTCCCCCTCTCCTCTTCCCTCCCTTGGCAGGACTACATATACCGCGAGGAGCTAGCAGCGTACGAGGAGAGTGGCGTGCTGTCAGCGCTGCACGTGGCCTTCTCCCGAGACGGGCCCTCCAAGGTCTACGTGCAACACCTGCTCAAGCAACAGGTGCGTGCAACACCTGCTCAAGCAACAGGTGCGTGCAACACCTGCTCAAGCAAGAGGTGCTTGCAACACCTGCTCAAGCAACAGGTGCGTGCAACACCTGCTCAAGCAACAGGTGTGTGCAACACCTGCTCAAGCAAGAGGTGCGTGCAACACCTGCTCAAGCAAGAGGTGCGCTGATTGTGAGAGAGGGGTACGTGCAGCAGCTGATGTGCTGATTGGGTTGTGTGGTGCAGTCCCGCTCCATGTTTGTCCCACCCTGCTCATCCATGCATGCTCGCGCGCTTGTTGCCACTTATTCTGACGCCTCACCACATTCCTCTGCATGTGTGTGTGTGTGTGTGTGTGTGTGTGTGTGTGTGTTTATGTATCTGTGTGTGTGCGTGCATGTGGTGGTGGCACAGGCGGAGAGGGTGTGGGCGGTGGTGGGGAGGGGGGGAGGCAGTGTGTATGTGTGTGGCGACGCCAAGGCCATGGCTAGGGATGTGCACCATGCGCTGCTTGAGATCGCAGTGGAGCAGGTGGGTGGCGCTGTGTTCTAGTGGACCACACATGCACATTCTTTGGATCCTTGCTCTCTCCTTCTCTCTCTGCTCTGCTGCTCTCTGCTCTGCTGCTCTTTGCTCCTCTGCTCTCTGCTTTGTTGCTCTGCTGCTCTCTGCTCTCTGCTGCTCTCCTGCTGCTCTGTGTTATGCTTCTGCTGTTGCTCAGCAGATCATCCATGTGTGAGTGTGCACGGTTGTGCTGCAGGGCAAAATGGTGGAGGAGGAGGCAGTAGCATTGCTGGATGGTCTAGCGGAGCAGGGTAGATATCTAAGAGACATTTGGTGACCTGCTGGTGTATGTATGCATGGTGCATTGGTTGTGCTAGCTTGTTCCAATTACCTATGTGCTTTACATAACAAGGAAGACTGTCATGCTTCTCTGCTGGAATTTTGGTAAGAGCTGCAACAGCTGCACGGTGTGTGGAACAAGGCTGAACGCTTTCAAGGAGCTACCGGAATATCACTTTGTAGATTGTTTGTACCTATCACTAAAAACGAAGTTAGTGCTTAAGTAAAACAGCAGAAGAACGATCATATAGCAGAGTGCAATAACGAATCGTTTGGCAGTTAGCGCCTGGAACTGTGCTCGAGGGCTTCCCAGAAGCTTCTTGTTCTCGCTTCCCCCGCAAGCGTGTCGAACCACAGCCATGCGTTCGGCACGAGCCTGGAGGCGCCAAGCATTCACCTGGTCGAGCCGCATCTCATTGGGATGAATCTTTTCAACGCGCCGCCGCAATGCCCAGAGCCAATGCGCATTGTCCAACCAGAGCATTCCAGCAGCAAACCGCCCATCCACACGGCACCACCGCCATTTCCCATTGCCCATCCATCCGTCCATTCCCTCTCCCGCAAATCGTCCAAATCCATTCTGTAAAAACAGCCTTCCCTCCAGACCTGTGCGTAGTCCCGAGTCCCAACCCGATCTGTACATACCGGTAGTCGTGCAAAACTCCTCCACCACATTCGGCCTCTCCACGTTTCCACCATTCCAAATCTCTGCTGCCCCTCACCCCGGCCCATCGCGCGAGCCTTCCACGCGCTTACTCAGCGCAAGCCGGCTCCGCCGCGTCAACTCTCCATTCCCGCCTGCGCCACTCCGCACGACCGCCCTCCCCGCATGGCTCCTCTTCGCGTCTCGCCGTTTACCGCGCGGCGCCTCTCGTTCGTCGGGCTCGCGCTCTGCGCGCTCCTCGCCGCCGCCCTCTTCCGCCCCACCCTCTCCCGCGCATCCGTGCCCGTCGCGCGCGGAAGAATGCTGGACGACAACGAGGGGGAGGGACATAGCGACGCTGGGGGAAGCAGGGATCGGCTTCGATCGCAGGGAAAGTTGCGCGCGGGGAAGAGCAAGGGGAAGAGCGACTCGTCGCACGGTGACCATGGCGACGACGGCGACGACCATTCGCACGACCATTCGCACAGCGAGGATTCCTCGTCGTCGTCCAAGCGGTCCCCCCCGCGTCCCACCAACCCGTCTGGCCCCACCGTCACCCCTTCGCCCCCGTCCTTCCCGTCGCTGTCGTGCGCGGCCGGCGCGGGGTACTGCCAGTACGCGGGGACGGCAAAATGCAGCCCCGCGCGGATCTTCTGCAACGGCTCCTGCTGCATCGTACGCTCCGCGCCCCTCCCTGCCCTCCCCCTCGCTTGCTCCCTGCCTTCACACAAATACGCACAAACGTACACGCACGAGCACGAACAAGCACACGGACAAGCACGAAAAGACAACACAGACACACAAGCAAGCTCTCTCTCATCTCTCAGTCTCTCTCCTCTCTCTCTCTCTCATCTCTCGCGCTCTCTCTCTCTCTCTCTCTCTCTCTCCTCTCTCTCTCTCTCTCTCTCTCTCTCTCTCTCTCTCTCTCTCTCTCTCCTCTCTCTCTCTCTCTCTCTCTCTCTCTCTCTCTCTCTCTCTCTCTCTCTCTCTCTCTCTCTCTCCTCTCTCTCTCTCTCGCACGCACGCACGCACGCACGCAGACACAGACGCACAGACGCACAGACGCGCAGACGCGCAGACGCACGCACGCACGCACGCACGCACGCACACACACACACGCACACACACACACGCACACACACACACACACACACGCACGCACGCACGCACACACACACACGCACGCACGCGCACACACACACACACACACACACACACACACACACACACACACACACACACACACACACACACACACACACACACACACACACATGTTCTGAGATCTTTCGCCCGTACATCACGCTGTCCATGCTCGTTCGCCAGGAAGCCGACCACCTCTCTCCCTCTCTCTCCTCTCTTTCCCCGCTGGCACCACCACAGGACGACCACCACTACCCGTGCTGTGGGGGCAAGGTGTGCTGCGAGCGCCGCCCCGGGTCGCATGCACCCACTACTGCCTTGCACATCTATGCATAATCACCACCCTCCCCCTCTTCCCCCCCCCCCCCTCTCCCCCCCTGGGTAACGACCGCAGGACGACCACCACTACCCGTGCTGCGGCGGCAAGGTGTGCTGCGAGCGCCGCCCCGGGTCGTGCTGCCGCAACCAGCGAGGCGAGCCCTACTGCTGCCGCTACCCCTCCACCTGCTGCCGCCAAGGCTGCTGCGGTTTCTGATTTGACCACCCTGCTGCAGCTTCTGCCCCGCCACTCCCACCACAGCATCCTGCTGCCTGCCCGCACCCCCACATGATCTTCCTGACGAAGCCTGTTCCCCCCCTTTCCACGTGCGCCCAGCTCGTTCCAGATTCCAGAATGGTCCCCTGCTGCTAGATACCGTATATAGTGTGCTGCATGCTCTGCTCCCTCTGCCCCCCTACGCTAGCTGTGTGCATGTGCAACAAAGTGGCACTGTATTGTATTGTAGGCTGTCCTTGCATTGTGGGTGCATAGAGATCAGCAGCATGGCTTGTTATTGCCTATACTTTTATTACCATTGTGGGCACTTTCACTGCACCAATTCAAGACGTGTAGCGAAGCAGATAGCCATGTTGATGCAAGTTGGGAGCATGTCGTACAGCTGAGTGATACAGGGACTCTGGCTAGAGGGTATGGGTGACACGGGTTGTACAAGCATGCACTTGGTATGGTTGGGCTGGGCGGGAATGTTGGCTGCAGTGGGTTGGACGGATGAAGCTTACAGCTTACACATGGCACGCACATCATGCTGCACTGCATGCATGCCAGCATGCCAGCAAGTAACACAGGCAGCACGTGGCATGGGCGTGTGATCCCCAGAAAGCTCTGGCCTGCGCCCGCACGAGCGTGCTCAGAGGGTGGCGGGCGGGGAGGGCGCGGAGGGGGAGGGCTCCATGGAAGTGACGTCCATGGGGTAGCTGCCTAGCACCCGCAGGAACGGCGCCATCTCCTGGTGGCAACCATGGGGGGACACACATGAGAGCAGGGGTTGGTGTGAGTGCGGTTATGCAAGGGTGACGGTGCAGGGGACGCGGAGGGGGAGGGCTCCATGGAAGGGACGTCCATGGGGTAGCTGCATAGCACTCGTAGGAACGGCGCCATCTCCTGGTGGGTGGGCAGGGGTGGGGGTGCACACATGAGAGGTTTGAGTGCAGCGATGCAAGGAGCGCGGTGAGCGCACAGAGGAGGGGTGCTCCATGGAATGGATGTGACGACGTCCATGGGGTAGCTGCCCAGCACTCGCAGGAACGGCGCCATCTCCCGGTGGCGCGCAGGTGCGCAGGGGGTAGTGTGAGTGCGGTGATGCACGGACGGGGAAGGTACGTGTGTGAATGAGATAGAACGGGGATAAGCAGAGGCTGAGGAGACGAAGAGGGATGGCGTGGGGGGAAAGGGAAGGAAAGGAGAGGCAAGGGAGACGAGGGGAGGGGAGGGGAGGGGAAAGCGATGTGGGAAGGGAGGAAAGGAGAGGCGATGTGGGGAGGGAAGGAAAAGGGAATGGCGGGGGCGGACCTGCAGGTGGCGCATGGCGTTCTGCACACGGGGCTCCGCGAGCGAGGCCTGGAAGTCCACATAGAAGAGGTAGTCAAACGACTGGTATGCCATGGCGCTGCTGGTGTGGGGGGGAGAGACAGTGGGGGGACGGAGGGGCACAGAGGGTGAGCGGCTCGGCGAGGGAGGCCTGGAAGTCAATGCAGACGAGGTAGTCGAATGACTGGTAGGGCATGCATGGCGCTGCTGCCGTGGGGTGGAATGGCGGGGACATGGAGGAGCAAAAGCATGAGTGAGTGAATGTGTAAGGGAGAAAGTGAGTGAGTGAGTGTGGTCGTATCTGCAGAGGTGAATCAGAACAAGTGAGTTGTGGGGGGGACGTGGACGGCAAGAGAAGGTGATGTGCGGGTTGAAGGTGGGCATAAGACAAGGAGGAAGGCGAGAGGTGAGGGGAGGAGAACTGACTCTTGAGAGGCGGCAGCAGGGGTATCTGAGAGGGGCATGGCGGGCGCAGCGAGGGAGGAGCGATCCAACCAGTCCACGTAGAGTGGCTTGTCCCTGTGCGGCCGTGACTCTATCTGTAAACGTATGCATGCACGCATGTTTACCACACACATACACATGAGCATATACACGTGCGCATGCGCGCGCACATACACACACACAGATGCACAAACGCACATGCTCACACATCGACACACACCCCACACGCGCACACACACACATGCTCACACAGAGGCACACACAAACACGCATACACTCACAAACACACAATCGTGCACAGCAAGCACGCACATGGAAACATGGTGGCGCACACACGCAGCATGAGTCCAAGCGACCTGCCATGCCACACATCAGAGTCCAACTAAATCAGAAACAGCAGAGGAGTGTGGTGCGGTGCATTGTAATGTGGTACAGAACGGGGCAGAAAGGCAGTGACCTTGGTAAGGTTGATGTCTCGGAGGGCGAAGACTGAGAGTGCCTTGAAGAGCACGCCCGCGCCCTTCTCCAACGTGAACACTATGCTCGTCTGGTGGCATTGGGGCGTGGAGAAGGAAGGGAGGGGGGCGCAGGGTTGCACGGGGAGGGGGAGGTGCGGAGTGCGCAGGGACGGAGGGTGGTGAGGGGCCAAGGAGCAGTGATGCAGGTAGGTGAGCACGCATGGTGACGCGGGAGCAGCAGGGAGGAAAGGCATGGAGCAGCAGGAAGGGCACCTTGAAGGGGCGGTCAGTGGAGGGCAGCACGGGGTCCCTGGCCAGCGCCAGGAAGCGCGTGAAGTTGTCCGCCTCGTCCTGATTGAGAGATAGGGGAAAAGGGAGAGGGGAAAGGGGGATTTGGAAAATGGGGAGGGAAGGGACGGAAAACGAGGGATGAGCATAGAAACGAGAGACAGGGAGGAAGGAATGCCCTCCGCCAGGATCTCAAGGCCGTAGATGTCCGCCGCCCGCAGAGGAGAAGGACATGGGAGACGCGAGTACTGAGCAATCTCATCTTCCTGCATCCCCTCTACCATCCCACCTGAATGCCCTCCGCCAGGATCTCAAGGCCGTAGATCTCCGCCGCCCGCGTGCTCGCCACTGCCCCCACGCCCTCCATCTTCTGATTCGCCACCATCTGCCACGTGGCAGCACAGCATTGGGCAGCACAAGGCATGGCGGTGGAAGGAGTTCAGGACAGTTCAGCGCTGAGACAACCACAGAAGCACATTTGCAAAGAACTCTCAGACCACCTGAATATTGAGAGCGCTCAAACGTGCGCACCCCACGTGCCCATGAACGCCACATGCCCATGAACCCCCCTCCCCCCAGCACCCACCTGCGCGGCCCCAGCCGTGTCGTACACGGCCTCCTGCACCACTCCCATGCGCGTCAGCTTTCCAACCCGCCTGCCCACCCGCCTGCCCACCCGCCTGCCCACCCACCTGCCCACCCACCTGCCCACCCACGTGCCCACCCACCTGCCCAACCCACGTGGCCCACAGCCCGCCCAGCAGTGCAACTGACCTGAGCAGCCCCCGCAGTATCATACACGGCCTCCTGCACCACTCCCATGCGCGTCAGCGTCCCCTCACTTGTGAGACACCTCACAACCCACTGCCCATTCCCCCAGCACCCACCTGAGCAGCCCCCGCAGTATCATACACGGCCTCCTGCACCACTCCCATGCGCGTCAGCGTCCCCTCGCACTGCGCCAACGCCTGGCACAGGGGGAGAGGGGGGAGGGGGGGGAGACGGGCAGAAACGGGGAAAGGGAAAGGGGGTGGCGTGGGCGCAGTGCAGGAGGAAGAATGAAGGGGATGGGGAGAGAGGGAGGTGGAGGGAGGGAAGTGGGGGGAGAGGGGAGGAGGAAGAGGGGAGGTGAGAGAGTTGAAGCGAGTGGGCGGGCGCCACAGCAGCAACCCCGCTCACCCTGCTGCCACGCCCGCCCATGCCCCAACGGCAATCACTCCGCCCCTTCCCTCACCTCTCTCCCCCGTCCACCCTACCCCCACCTGGGGGTGCGAGAGCATGCTTGTTGGCTGGTCAGGGCGCGGGCTGGGCAGTGCAAGCAGGCAGTGCAGTGGTGGGTGCACGGGCAGGTGCACCTGGCCCACCACACCATGTGCAGTGCAGGCGGTGGGCCTGCTCCCACCCACTCCGCCCCCCCCATCCCCCTCCTCCCCACTCCCTCCTTCCTATTCCTGCACCCACCTGCGGGTGCGAGAGTACGCGGGTGAGCTGGTCGGGAGTGGTCCCAGGGAGGGCGAGCAGGCAGTGGTGCACGGGCGGGTGCACCTCGCCCACCACACCATGTGCAGGCGGTGCCGCAGCAGCAGCAACCCAGCAACCATCCCCATCCATCCCCCTTGCAGTGAGAGCACGCGCGTGAGCTGGGTGGTTTGCGTGCCGGGCAGCGCGAGCAGGCAGTGGTGCACGGGCAGGTGCACCTCGCCCACCACACCATGTGCAGGGCGGTGCCTCTCCTCCACCCTATGGGAGGCCCGTGTAAAGAGCACTTACCTGGGGATGTGAGAGCACACGGGTCAGCTCTGTGGTTTGCGTGCCGGGCAGGGCGAGCAGGCAGTGGTGCACGGGCAGATGCACCTCGCCCACGATGTGCAGGCGGTGCCTGAGCAGCAGGTCGTAGTTGCGGTGAATGGAGCCCCCCAGGCTGTTCTCTATCGGCAGCACTGCTCGCCCCACCAACCACTGCTCCACTGCCTGCAGGGGAAGGGGGAGTGGGTCACAAGGGGGCGGTGCCTTAGCAGCAGGTCGTGTCGTAGTTGCGGTGGATGGACCCCCCAGGCTGTTCTCTATCGGCAGCACTGCCCGTCCTACCAGCCACTGCTCCACTGACTGGGGCCACGGGGGAGGGAGGGGGAAGGGGGGGAGGGGGAATGGGGGAGAAGGAGAGGAACGGGGGTCTAAGGGGGAGAAGGGGGAGGGTGAAGGGGGTGCGGGTGCCTTAGCAGCAGGTCGTAGTTGCGGTAAATTGACCCCCCCAGGCTGTTCTCATTGGTAGCACTGCTCGCCCCACCAGCCACTGCTCCACCGCCTGGGGGCGAAGGCGCGCGGGGGCGGGGAGGGGAACGGGGGGTTTGAACGGGGTGGAAGGGTGAAGGGGGGCTGAGTCACTAGGGTAGGGTGGGGGGAAGGGAAGGGGCAGTGAGCGGAAGCGAAGGGGAATGCGGGCGGGCGTGGGGGGCGGGGCAGAAGCTGCATTGAAGTGAGCAGTTCCTAGAGCAAATGGTGCGCGCATGCATCCATGCGGGAGTTGGGTGAGAGGGGGTGGGGGACTCATGGTGAAGGCGGGGGGGGTGGGGGGGGCGCGGGGGGGCTTACTTTGAAGGCGTCGTCGAACTGGTCGCAGGGCACGGGGGAGCACCCGGGGTACGCGCGCATCGCCGCCATCTCGCTGTACGCGCCCGGGACGCCCTGAAGGGGGAGGTATGGGGAAGGTGCGGGGTGGAGGGGGAGGGGGGGAAAGGGAGAGATAGGGCACGAGGACGCCCGTTGACGAGAGGGCGCGACGGCAGGGTTGCGCATCAACGTCCCTGCTCTGAACCGGCAAAACTTAGCATTCCAACTCCCGCGACCACCGCGCGCCCCTCCCCGTCCCCCGATTGTTAGACGCCTCAGATCCCCCCTCCCCAGGCCTGCCCTGCACTCCCCGCATCCGCGCGTCCCGCGTACCTGGTACGCCACTCGCAGCGGGACACCTGTCCCGTTCCCATTGGCCGCGCCTCCCTCGCTGCCCGATTGCGGCTCCTGCACGGCGCGCGCCCGCACGGGCGCCGCCTGCCCTTGGCGTGGCGCGACTGGCGCGCGCTCAGCGCTGAGAGAGCGGCTGGGGGAGCCCGCTGGAGGCGGAAGGGGAAGGCGCGGAGAGGAGGTGCGAGTGAAAGCGGGAATGCGGCGCATTGGCGGATGAATCAGCGCATGAGGGCGCGGCGTCGCGGACGGGGGGGAGCGGAGGGTGACACGGAGCGACTGGTACCTTGCAAATGAATCTTTCGGCTAAAACGTCGCTTCGCGCGTACCTATGCCGAGCGGCTGGCCAATGAGCGACGAGCCGCTGCTTAGGCTGGCGCGATCCGTTGTTGCCATCGAAGAGGGTGACGACGAGTTTTTATAGGAGCGCGGCGCGAGCTGATCTAACGGCGAGGAGCTGAGGAATCGGCGCACGGGCAACGATACGAGCGAGGTCATTGCAAGCTTCGCAAGCGACGAGCGAAAGGCTCTTGGCGCTGAACGTTACAACGTGTTCGGAAGGTGCGCGCACGTGGCGGGCACGCGGCACGCAACTAGCCAATTATCTCTAGGCAGGAAGAGGAATTTGTGGGAAGGGACGCAAAGGAGGGCTCTGTTGTGCCTTGGGAAGTCACTCGAGTTTGTAAATGAACCCACTCTGCCGTGCAGCACATCGCACTCCACCGCATTCAACGCCTATCCTTGAAAAATGACCCAAACAATAACGCTGGACGAGATTAGGGTTACCGTCGCTCATTTCGCGAGAAGTACCGAACCCAAACCCCAAGCCCCTGATAAATCCCTCCAAAGACCTGATAGGACTCCACACACACATTCCTCCTTCCTTTCGCTTTCGCTTCGCGTCAGTCCCCTTCGCGCCACCACTCTGGCTTTCATCACCGCGCTTTCCTCCGGCCCCTTTCTTCCGCCGCGCTACTTCCAGCCGTATTCGTTTGATTCCCGTCGCGTTACGACCTTAAAGCGGCGCGACCAGGCCAATCAGCAGCAAGGATGGTGAAACGAAGCAAGAGTGAGTTGATGTTGATCGTCCGAGAATCAGCGGCTTGAGGCTAGCGGGATGATTGCGGTGCTTGTTATGCGTGGTCGCGTCGTGCCTCGTTCACCTAGAAGCACCCCAGACGCGTTTTAAGCAACACACCCTCTCCTCACTCCTTCACGTTTCTCGCGCGTCTTCCCTCGCGCCTTTCGACTGACCTTCCACACCCTGCCTTTCTCGTTCCGCCCGTTGCGCGCGCAGAGAGCAAGAGCAAGCGCGTGACGCTGCGGCAGAAGTACAAGGTGATCCGCAAGGTCAAGGAGCACGCCAAGAAGAAGCTCAAGGAGGCCAAGAAGGCGCGCCGCGACGGCGTCCCGCCGCGGCGGCGCGTGGAGAAGGACCCGGCATCCCCAACGACTGGCCGTTCCGCGAAGAGGAGCTCGCGGCGCTCGAGGCGCGGCGGCAGCGCGCGCTGGAGGAGCGCGAGGCGAAGAAGGCGGAGAAGAAGGAGCGGGTGCGCGGGGGGAGGGCGGGGATGGGTGCGCGAGGGGGGAGAGAGTTACGGGCGGAGGGACGGGATCGAGGGCGCAGTGAGAGTTGTGGCGCATTCGCTGCCCAAGAAATGCATTCTCCCCTTCCCCCAAATCTCCCCACTTCCCCCATTCTTCCCGCGAGCGCGCACTCCACGCTGCTCCTATCGTCCGCCACCCCTCGCGGAACTTTGTTGATCAAAACCTAAACCTCTTCCCCTCTCTCCCGCCCCCATATCTCCCTTATCCCCAATCCTTCCCTCCCTCTTTTCCCACCAGGCGAGGCGGCGCCGCCTGGGGCTGCCGGAGGAGGGGCCGCTGCCGGGCGCGGAAGGCGCGGAGGATGGGGAAGACGCGGAGATGGGGGGCGAGGCGGAGGAGGACGGGGGGGAAACTGGGCGCGTGACAAGCGGGGCGGCGATGGCGGGGATGGTGCGGGGGGCGATGGAGAGGGGCGCGGAGTTTGAGAAGCGGAAGAGGGAGCGGGAGGAGGCGGAGGAGGGGCAAGCGGGCAAGGGGAAAGGTGGGTGCGCGGAAGGCAAGGGGTAAGGGGGGGGGGGTCAGATCTCGCTCTCACGTTCCCGAATCTTTATTGGGTTGAACCTTGAGGGCTTAGCGAACCCTAAACCCGAATCCTCAACCCAAGGGGAGAGGCAGTGTGGACGGCGCACAATCCCTCCGCTCCTTCCGCTCAATCTCCCTTCTTCAATCCCCTTGTCTCTTTCCCCTCTTCCCCTTTTCCCCCCCAACCCCACCTTCCCTCCCCCTTTTCCCCACGTGCGCGCACAGGGGGAGCGCAGCGCGCGTTTATGCGGGAGCTGCGCGCGGTGGTGGAGGCGGCGGACGTGGTGCTGCTGGTGCTCGACGCGCGCGACCCGCTGGGCGGGCGCTGCCGCCAGCTGGAGGACATGGTGGCGCGCAGTGGCGCACACAAGCGCATCGTGCTGCTGCTTAACAAGATAGGTGCGTACCGAACACATGCGTGCATGGATATCCAACCACAAGCGAACACGCACACACACGCCCGCCCCCTTCCTCACGCCTCCTCGCCGCACCTCCTCCCCGCCACGCCACCCCCTCCCCATCCCCCCTTCCCTACAGACCTGGTGCCCCGGGACGTGGTGCAGCGCTGGCTGGCGTATTTCCGTCGCGAGCTGCCAGCGGTGGCATTCAAGGCCTCTACGCCCCCCCCTGCCCCGTCCCCCCCTTCCCCCCATCAGATCTCGTCCCCCGGGACGTGGTGCAGCGCTGGCTGGCCTATTTCCGTCGAGAGCTCCCAGCGGTGGCCTTCAAGGCGTCCACGCAGGCGCAGCGCGCCCACCTCGCGTGCGCCTCCCGCCCCTCCCGCGCCGACCCCAACAAGGCCACTGCCGCGCCGCAGCCGCTGCTGCCGCGGGGGGAGGGCGAGGAGGCGGGGGGGGCGGCGGGCGCGGAGGGCAGTGAGTGCTTTGGGGCGGACACGCTGATTCAGCTGCTCAAGAACTACTGCCGCAACAAGGATGTGAGGGAGGGAAGGGGGAGGGGGGGAAAGGGGGGTGCGTAGGGGGGCGCATGGGCGCATTGGGGGCGTGGTGCATGGGGATGGTATGGAGGTTGTTTCAGTCGCGGAGTGAGAGAGGGCGATTCCTTGAAAGGTCCCTTCATGTTGTTCGCCTCTCACCACTCCTCTCTTCCCCTCTCCCCCTCTCCCCCTCTCCCCCTCCCCTTCTCCCCTTCTCCCCCTCTCCCCCTCCCCTTCTCCCCTTCTCCCCCCTCTCCCCCTCTCCCCCTCTCCCCCTCCCCTTCTCCCCTTATCCCCCTCTCCCCCTCTCCCCCTCTCCCCCCCCCTTCTCCCCTTCTCCCCCTCTCCCCCTCTCCCCCTCCCCCCCTCCCCTTCTCCCCCTCTCCCCTTTCTCTCCCGCCCTCCTGCAGATCAAGACAGCAATTCGAGTGGGCGTTGTAGGCCTGCCCAACGTGGGCAAGAGCAGTGTCATTAACTCGTTGAAGCGAGCGCGCGTGGCCAAGGCGGGCGCCACAGCGGGCGTCACCCGCGCGCTGCAGGAGGTGCAGCTCGACAAACTCGTCCGCCTCATTGACTCGCCGGGGGTCGTGCTGTCGGGGGGAGGGGGAGGGGGAGGGGGAGGGGGAGGGCAGGGGGGAAGGATGACGAGGCAGCTGCTGCGCTGCGCAATGCCATCCGCCCCGAGGCGCTGCTCGACCCCTTTGCACCCGGTGGGTACCACCGCTTTCCACCCCTTTGCACCCGGTGGGTACCACCGCTTTCCACCCCTTTGCACCCGGTGGGTACCACCGCTTTCCACCCCGCTTTGGAACCTTCCTCCGCGTCTGGTCTTCCCTCGCAACGCCTCGGCCCCACCAGTGCCGGCCAGGCTTTCCCCCCTCCCTCCCTCCGCTGCCATGTCTCCGCTCCAATCACCACCTCCACACTCAAGCATCCTTGCCGCAAACCCCACACAGGCCCTCTCAACTAGCACTCGCCTAACCCCTCCCCCCTCCTTGTTTCCGACCACCCCCTCTTCCTTCCCCCCCCAGTGGAGCGCATACTACAGCTGTGCCCACGAGCACACCTGAACGCCGTCTACGGCCTCGATGAGAAGGACGCGCAGAAAGAGGGCGCGGGCGGCCCCGTGGACGGCTTTCTTCGGCAGGTAGCGCAGAAGCGCGGGCGGCTGAAGAAGGGCGGCGTGCCCGACACGCTTGCTGCGGCGCGCATCGTTCTGCGCGAGTGGAATGGAGGTGCGTGGGGGGGAGGGGGAGTAGCGGGGTGAAGGGGGGAGGGGGAGTAGCGGGGTGAAGGGGGGAGGGGGAGTAGCGGGGTGAAGGGGGGAGGGGGAGGGAAAGAAATCGAGCAGTGGGACGGGCGAGGTGGGTACAGGGAGGAGGGGCCACGCTGCCACCATCACCCCACCAGCTCGCATCCCCTTGTACACGCTGCCACCATCACCCGCGTCGGAGGCAGTGGAGGGCGCGGAGGAGCACCACTCTTCACTCCCTCCCCTTCCCCACCACACCACACCACCCTCACTTCCCCTCCCCCCCCTCCTGGCAGGTCGCATCCCCTACTACACGCTGCCACCATCACCTGCATCGGAGGCTGTGGAGGGGGCGGAGGAGCACGAGGAGGGAGCGGCGCTGGTGGGCGCGTGGGGGGGCGAGTTCGGCGCACACGAGGTGCTGGCGAGTGAGCAGCGCGCCTGGCAGGCCCACTCGCACCAGGGGGGCGCCCTCGCGCCAGCTGCTGGGGGAGCCGCAGCAGGGCATGCGGTGCTGCCTGCGAGCGCGCCGGCCACCATGATGGTCACAGATGAGGTACGCAGTGATGCTGGTGGTGGGGTTGGTTGTGGGAGGTGTGGTGGTGGGGAGCTGGTGGCAAGCTCGCATAGCTCTTTCCCACATCTCTTGCCTCTCGTTCGATGCCCTTATTGCCAAACTCAACCCCAACATTTCCCCCCTTTTCCCAACCAACGCACCCCCTCACCCCGGCATCACTGGCTGTTGCAGGTCGAAGAGGGAGAGGAGGAAGAGGACGAGGAGGACAGGGCGGCAGAGGCGGGCGGCATGCATGTGGACGACGTGGACGCAGTGGCGGCAGCGGAGAAGGCAGGTGTTGTGCGGGGGAGGGAGTACCTGCGGCAGAACGAGGTGCTGTACGAGGCGGTGGGTATCCTGAACCCGCATCGGCGCCGCGCCGACAAGAAGCGCCGCAAGAAGCAGCAGCAGCTGGGGGGGGAGGGGGCGGGGGAGGAGGGCGGAGAGGGGAGCACGCGGGGGAAGGGCAAGGGCGGCGCGGCGGGTAAGGGGGGTGAGGAGGCGGAGGGGAGTGAGGGGAGTGACTATGACTTCACAGAGCAGTTTGACGGCATGCTGCCGGAATGATGGCACGGCCTTAGTTATCTTGGGCAGTGCAAGTGCAAGCTTAGGTTGGATTATTGTATTGATGGTGCTGATAGTTGCATTGCATGTGATTGTGATTTGTCAAAGCGTGGAGAGAGGAGTGTGGAGGAAAGTTGAAAGGATGGACGGCGCAGATAGCACTGCAAAGGTGCTCATCCACCCAACTCAAGCGGAGGGGTTGCGTTGCGGAGCTAATCTTGCATCAGGGACCTGACCCGTTCCGAAACAAATGGACAAACACGTAGCGCGCGCGCTAGCGCGGTGGGAATATATCGATCGCAACCTAACGACTGGGACAGAGTCTCCATGTGCTGTGGCCCGTAGCCAGCTTGCTTTCACCATGCTGGAAAATGGGTGGCACGTTATTTGGATAATAAATCAATTAATCATTTTGAACATTTCATAACAAGATTTACAAAGGTGCACATGCGCAGCAACGCATTTCATCTGCAGCGGCAGATGGACTGATAAATGGTGGTACTCTCATCTAGGCCGTCCACTGATTATTGTCGCGTGGTCCATCATTGCCGAGATCACGATCCAACGGCTGGCATTACTCGTGAGTGGCGCCGTTGAACCGGAATCTGTTTTGTCTTCGCTTGGCGAATGAGGCTTCTCTTCGAGCTGACGCCTCCGTGCCGTTGGGACGAAGCCTCTTAGGACCGAGGCGCGAGAAGCGCGCTTGGAGGGCCGGAATGTGCAGCATTGCGGCTCGGCGGGGCTTTAGAGGCGCGGTAGAAGCGACGGCGCGACTTCCGCGGCCGGGCTGCGGGGCGCGCCTCGCAGGTACAGTCTCAAACTGTCAAGATCTGGGGGGACGTGTTTCAGAGCGGAGGCTTTCATCTGAAGATGTCGTTGCGGCGCACGTTGAGGCTCGCGTGGCGGCGCAGCGAGCGCGGGACGCCGCCCGGGGACGACGTGCTGGAGCGCGCGGAGCGGGAGCCCAGCGAGCGGGTGAGCGGGTGAGTCGCGGAGGGGCTGGAGCGGGAGCGGGAGAGGTCCGCGGCGCCATCGAGGTACGCGAAGTCCTCCGTCAGGTGCGAGTGGCGCGAGGAGACCTCGAAGGAGCGACGCGTCGGGATGGTTGAGCGACGGGCGGGGAAGTCGTCGAGCTCGAGGGAGAAATCGTCGTCGTCGTCGCCGTGCGAGAGCGACGACTGGAGCATGTGGATGAAGTTTTCGCAGCGCACGGCGCTGAGCTGGCGCTGGATGTTGAGCAGCTCGAGCTTGCCCTCCAAGGCGCGAATCTCTACGTCGTCGAGCTTGCTGCGGATGACCTTCGAGCTGAGCGGCTGTACGGAAGGGGTGGCCATCTTATAGTATAAGGGCTTATGTTACGTTCGCTGGGAAGTTATGGAACGAGCTTTGGGAACAAGAGAGAAGCACAAGTGCATTAGAAGGTTAGAGAGGCTGAGAGCAGTAAACAAGATAAGGCTGAGCTGGTTGAAAATGGTTGTGAAAACATGGTGGCGGGTTGGTTGCCTTTGTAGCAGAGAGGCGAGGTGAGGGTTGGGGGACACTGGAGGGGACGACGAGGGGGGATGGAAGGGGCATGTTGGGGGACAAGATGCGCGTTGCGACAAAATAGAAGATGGATGCATATCGCATCGCGCGGTGCAGATCCCTTGCACTGCGGTGCCACTAACCCCTCCAGCGCACCCTGGCTTATCCTAACGATATCTAAATCCATTTGTTACCACAAACTGCTGTGAATCAGCAACTTCCCGCCAGTATTTTGTGGTTCCTGAGAGGAGGATGACATGGCAAATGCTTCCGAAATATCGTGCCACCGAAGTCAGTTGGCAGGAGCAGTTGGTCGAGGACGCGAATTTATGATTGAAGCAGGAATCTATTAAAGGCGAACTACATTTGTGGTGCAAAATGAAGCAACGAGAATCATTCTCTGGAAGTACAGCTAGCTAACGTGGTGTCACTTGTGGTGAGTGTCCAACCAGAGCCAAGACAATGGTACGCGTAGGTGCGTGCCATCAGCAGTTCGTTGCACTGGTTCCCTTCCACACCACCAGCTCCAGTAAATCCTACCAGACACGTAGAGTACTGAATCAAGAATTGCAATGTTTTTCTGACCCGTTTATCCAAAGAAAGCACAGTGTACCACATTTCCATGTTCTAAATCTCGTTAATTAAGACCTTATAACAAGGTCGAAGACCGTTCTCGGAAATTTTATGCCACTATATAGCTATGGCGGAACCACACAATCAATGGCAGCGTGAAAGCATTCCCTTCGGTTATTTATGAGTGAAAGTTGAACAGAACCTGAATCAACGGTTTTTTCGTTTGTCTTATAAAACCGCCTCACTAAGCATTTAATACGCGTGGATGAGCAAATGAAACTGGTACACCTAGCCCGCGCCAAATTCACTAGGGCCATTTTCAACCCCCTGAGTAATTATTTCTGACTTACCCGATATTAAAAGGTTTTTTCGAGTGCTTTCGTTTTAAAGAGGGCACGTTCTAGACATCTCAGACGAGTTAGAGGGGATGAAAAACGGGTCACAATAAACTATGGTCGAGTCGCCGTGGCAAAAACATCTCGACACTCAGCTGAGTGGTTTGTAGCCTTCAAATTCTGGGAGTTTACTGGTCAAAGCAAAATCAGGTTTAGGGTGCTTGCCGAAACAAGTTGCAGGGCGTGAAAATACCGCGGGCTAGGTGTAATGACTGGTGGAGGGACACGCACCTTCGCTGAAACAACACACCAGAACTGTGCATGCACTGCACTACAGTACAGAACATAGAACTTCAAGGGGTTCACTCTATCTGGTCAGCTGTGAAAAAAAAAACAGGTGTTTTCAACCTTGGAGTGTCCATATAATATGTAAACCCGTCAGAACCTGAACATCCCTTTTCCCCAACCCATCACCCAAAACCAGCTTCCCCAAATCGGTACGTTCCTCCCCTAGACCCCTCAGCTCTTGACAGTTTCCACACTGGGGGCACTTCCATTGATTCATTGCGCACAAACAAATGGGCATTCTTCAGTTGCTTGGGGTTAGGGTGGTGGAGTGGTGGGAAGGGAAGGAAAATCCTGAGCAGCATTTGACAATCTGAACAGTGCTTCCACAGTCGATATCGTCTAGAATCGCAAATCACTCTCGCCGGGCAGCCTGCGGCAAGGTCAGAAAGACACCCCGACCTCACCACCAGGCCTCTCGATGTGTTTTTGGGCACCCTGCCAGAAACAATTCGTGGCCGACCTTCACCCTGCCACTGCAGTGTGCCAATCGCGGCATACTCAGGAAATGGCAGGGTGTTTATATTTTCTTGTCGGAACTGGCAGGGTAGAAATCTCGGTAACACTGCTGAGCTCTGTACACCCGGATTGAGCAGGACTTCGTCAAATTACAGCCTGTTCCGTCACTGAGCGAGCTTAGCGTGTTAAAGGGACTTAACTAAGTTTCCAGCTTGTCCCAGTGACCAAGACAAAATTCCAGTGTGATTCTGTGACTTCGCCGAATTTCGGAAAGCGTAAGTGACTTAGCCGAATTTCCAGTATGTTTCAGACTTCGCTGAATGACCAGTGTGCTCCAGTCACTTGCGCGATTCTCTGAGTGCTTCAGTGACTTAGGCGATTTCCAGTGTTTCAGTGACTTAGGCGATTTCCAGTGCTTCAGTGACTTAGGCGATTTCCACTGTTTCAGTGACTTCGCTGAATGTCGAGTGTGTTCTAGTGACTTGGGCGGTTTTCCAGAGTGCTTCAGTGACTTAGCCAAATTTCCTGTGTGTTTCAAAAACTTGGGGTACGTTCCTGGCGAGTGTCAAGCTTCCGGTCATCCGCGGATGACCGGAAGTTGGACCCACTTTGGACCATCCGATACCAACTTCGGGTCTTCCGGCCTAAAATCGCCCCTGTTTCCGGAAGACCTGAAGTTTGACAGGGAGTTTGACCCAAAGCTTCGGGCCTTCCCGGGAAGGCCCGAAGCTTTGACACGGGCCAGGAACGTACCCTTGGCAGCATTTCCAGAGTTTCAGTGTCTTAGCCAGATTCACTGACTTAGCTGAAATTGGGGGGCACGAGAGTTCGACTGTTAAGGAGTCCTTAGCAGGGTTAAAATGACTTCGACTCGGAAAAGGCAGGGCTGACAGGATGCTCTCACCTGATATTGAAGGGTACGGTTTTACTCATGTCAAGGAGCGTCAGGGCGGTACAAGCGTCGAAGTCAATTTCAGCAGGGTGACCTGAAAAACTCACTCTGAAAAACAGGCTAATCATGGTAAAACACCCTGACTTCCTGGGGCCTGCTCACCACCATCATCATGCAACGTGGGAGAACGAGCCATCGCTATCAACGACCCCGTTAACATACAATCGTAACACAGCGAACACTCAAAACCAGTTACTTTCCATCTTCTTCAGTGTCCACGTCTGAGGGCGTATTCCTACGGCCTCCTATCAAGAAACCTCCTATCAAGAATGCACATTTTGCCTGGTGAAAGTAGCGAGAGATTTTGGGTTTAGGGAATTTTTCAGTGTGAGCTTGATAAGAGGTTTTCTTGATAGGAGGATAGGAATACGCCCTAAGACGAAGGGAAAAGCCATGTCTGAAATTCTGACAAATTCTGACCATCTTGAGCTTGTGTAGCTGACAAATTCTTGTATTGTGAAAGTGTACTTAGGCTGACTGGCAAAGGCAGCGTTATCACAAAGGCAGCGTTATCATTTCATATGGATTGTAGTACATCGTTCTCGTTTTATATAAATCTGCATAACAGCATACACAATGGGTGGGCGGGTGGGAAATTAGAACTACAATTTTGAAAATGAAAACGTGGGTGGGGACGAATGTCCCCACGTCCCTCTTTTGTAGGCAAAAGAGGGTGAGTAGCGCTTCGGCGCTACCTTTGCTGTGTTGGCCACGTACCCCTTTTCACAATACAAAATTTTAGAAAGTGTTACATTTCATTACACTTTCAAAAATTATCATATTGTGAAAGTGTACTTAGGCTGACTGGCAAAGGC